CCCAGCCCCGAGTCAGCCGGGTGCTGAGCTGCGGCCCTTCCTCCTCCTCCTCCTCCTCCTCCTCCTCTTCTTCCTCCACCTCCTCTTCTTCCTCCTCGCCCGGGTGATGTCACCCTGCTCATCCTCCCGGGGCCCCAGCCCTGAGCAGACCTGACGGGCAGGTTGGGCTGGAGAGGCGGCAAGTGTGTGTGGGGGAAACACCCAACCCACTCATGGAAAGGCAAAGCAGGAGCAGCTGGAGCTCCCCACCGTGGCTGTCCTCCCCCTCCAGTCCCCCCCGCCCCGTCCCTTCACGACCTCAAACCATCACCTGCGTGGGCTGCAAGCGAGGGGTTGCAGCAATTCCGGCACAGGAATTTAAAAATCATTATAGTGAAACAATGCAGCCCTCCCCTCCGGCCACAGAGCATCCGGGGGTGCTGCGGGAGGTCCTTCAGGGTTCCCCGGAAAGGACGGGATCAGGGCTCACCCCCTTATAAAGGAACCCAGACTGGAAGGTGTGAGCTCTAACATACCTGTAGTTCTCATCTTCCCACTCAGTGCCCAGCCGGAGCTCCGACTGCAGCAGAAGCAGCAGTGTTTGCACCTCTCAAAACTAAGCACCGTCGTTAATAAATCACTCCTCTCAAACACAAGCAGGTGGAGGCCTTCTCGGGGGATTTTACCAGACAACAAACACACAAACAACTGTTGGGAGTAAAAAAATATGTTTTTTCCTTTTAATTACATAAGTTATCAAAGAAAAAAAGCAGTGGTAACAAAAATACAAAGCTCTGAGGGTTTGTTGTTTTGTTTGTTTTGTAATAAGCTGAGCATCAGTGCAATTGTTTTAATTTAACTTCTGCTCTGAGTCTCTGCTGGCAGAATATGAGTAGGCTTTGCCCAGCACCAGACGGTCACGCAGCAGCTTGAAGAAGGCGTAGTAATTACTGAAGAGGATCAGAGCCAGCGAGATAGTCTGGTGCCACTTCTCTGAAGAAATCAGCGAGTAAAGCTGGTAGAAGATGACGGCTCCTTCCAGCAGAATCAGGATGTTGAGGATTCTCAGTGGTTTGCTGAAAAAGAACTGCAGGAGAGACCACAATAAGGCACCGAGCAAGGCCAGACCCTTTGGGATGTGTTTTTTACAGGACGTGTGAGGCAGAGGCTGGTGAGGGTTCCTCTGGGATTCCCTTCTGGAGACACAACATCCACCCGTGAATGGCTCTGCAGGGTTTGCAGGGGCCAGAGTCACCCTCCTGGCAGCACCGACGGGAGACGCGGGACTAACGTGAAACGCTGTACGGAACCCCGCGTGTTCCACCGCCCCGGCACACCCCATGGGCAGCTCTCCTGCTCGCAGAGCCAGCTCAGGCAGTCTGAGGTGTTCAGAAGAGGACCGTGACCCTGCCGAGGCACTTACGCCTCGGTCCCCACAAAGGAGATGCGATCTTACGTGAAAGCGGAAGTGCGAGACGTCAGAGGGCACTGCCACGTTGTAATGACCCACAGCTTTGTACACATTCTTGCTGTGTTTCACCAACACTCCCTGTGGCCACATGCACTCCTCTGTCCACCTGCAGGAAACAAGCAGAGAGCTCTTATTTCTACCTCTGCAGCTGAAGGGGGGGGTCTGCTGCCTTCCCACCATCAGCTAGGATAATGAACAAGCTGCTTCCACAGCGTTGGCCACAGTAGGAAGCTGCCGTCATTTGCGAGGGCAGAGTTTGGCCCACCGAGGCATGTAACAACGGCAGTGACAAATGGCAGTCACCTGTGGCCAGAAGCAGCAGGCACCTTGCCAAAAATCAGATCTGCTTGCTGCACTCAGAAGTGGACAGTACAGATAGTGTCTGTAAGCTGTCAGGTGTGTCAGCCGACAGCTCTGCTTTCATTTTTCTTTCTCTTTGTTTTTTTTAAGCAACAAGAGGAGGAGGAATGATGACTGGAAAGCTAAGCTTCCCATCTAGCCTCTGTCCACACCAATAGGCATGCCAGCTAAGAGAAAACTCCAGCCCTAGCCCCAGGAGAGAGTTCCTTACTGATGCTGCAGCACGTTGGAGCAGAGAGCCGGATCGACCTTCTGCCAGCAGCCCAGGTGCGCTGCAGCTTTATGGAGCAGGTCACAGTAGCGCGCAGGTAAGAGGTACTGCATCAGGATCACAGACGTGCTGATGGAAACCAGAAGGAAGAGCTCACACGACCAGCGTTTGTCATAGTACTGAGTGTTCTGTGGGGGGACAAGAAGAATGTGTGACAACGTGTTTGGACAACTTCACCCAACAAGCCATCAAAACACAAAGCACTCAGGCAGGTAAAACGAGGGCTTTTCACATAGCTATTAATCCCACTTGAAAAAGAAGCGCCCACATAGGATGGCTGCTGTGCAACTCCTGAACACACCACAGTGAAACATTTACGCTACCATCACCCATCACCAAAACCAGGGAGATAGTTCGTGATGCTCCCCTAGATCAGCTGACAGCTCAGCCCTCAGGAGAAGGGGACTTGGGCTCATCCCTGAGGTCTGACAGATTTACTACAAGACATTTGTCTCATTGTACAATGTATTAGTAACTTAAGTAAAACAGCTAAGAATCCTAATAAAGTCCACCCTCCTTCATACTGCCTCCCTTATTAAAGTCAATCCCCTTGTCCTGGAGCTCTGTCCTCACAGAAGGTCAGTGTGCGAAGGAATGGTCAGCCTGGAGTCCTTCTAGCTTCATGGGGAAGCAGAAGGAAGACACCGCTCCCTAACAGATGGATGCACACTCTCATGAATGGTCAGAATACAGGACAATATTGTCCTCTGTTGTCTGGAGTTTAAGCAAAGCTAAACCTAGATGGTTTCGCTTCTTACATTTCCCAAGGCCTCTGTAAATGGGTTTGACACAGCCACCTGTGCACACAGACCAGCCCTCTGACTAACTTCTCCCATGTTCCAGTTAAGCAAGAAGCAAGAACCAGACCTCCTCCGTAACCCAGTGTCCATCTCCCCACAATCTTCCCCAGCCAGTCCCACACCTGGAGAAGCAGTGTCTCAAGAGCAGTGGTGGCCCTTGCTCACCTTCACAAACCAGACAGGCACGAAGGCCACGTAGTAGGCACTGAGCATGGAGCTCACCAGCACCTCTTTCATCCGCCAGTTAAAGTCCATTTTCAGGTATTCCACCTCATTGCGGATGAGATCTGGGGAGAGGCAGCAGGCGTGAGTGGGCATGGCTTCCATGCCATACATCTGTCGAGTGTGCTGCTTCCAGGTTTCCTTTAGGACAGTCAGGTAGTCTCGGCTCCTGGAGTTCACCTCGCTCGTCTCTCTGGGACCAATGTTGGCCACCTGGGAGAAGAGGCCCGTCTTCCGAAAGTCACAGTTCAGTTGAAGGAAGGGAATGTACATGCCAAACCTGGAGCAGCAAAGTGCAGAAAAGTGGTTACTTTTTTTACGAGCTCCCCGTGCAATGCCTTTGCTGGCAGCAGATCACCATTACGATCGCATGCCCCTCCTAAATGGCTTCTAGTACCTATATAAATTCCAGGAAAGAGATTCACTAATCTGATCTCAAACACAAGCACCAAGTCTCAGATCTTTATGAGATGCTTCCTCCTGCATCTACCAGAGAGAAGGGAGCTATTTCCACTACCTGATTGGAAATAGAACTGGCTTCCTTTTGTTAGTTAACATGAAGCAGGAAAGCTGTTTGATTCGCTCCACCTGGCAGAGGCACCTAAGAATGAAGGTAAACCGAAGACATGGGTTCTTCGAATACCACGAGAAAAGCATACAATCCTCTTCAGAGGACACGAGCAATCTAATAATGAATGCTTACATTAAAGCTGGCATACGGATAAATGTTAAAGGCATGCCCTGCCACCAAGAAGAAATGTGACACAGCAAGAGGGAAAAGGGTAGTTTAAGTTCTGTTACCAAGTAATAGAGTGCTTATTTACTTTCAGGCTTCATTTCAACTGAGCGATACCCATTGCACTGAAGCAACACTAGAAATCACACACAAGTGACAGAAGAAGATACTTACGGGTAACACAGGAACAGGAGATTAAGGAAAGAGTAGGTTCTGAAAAGGTGAATTATTGATCGACACAAACTCCAGCCTGTGCCAGTGAGAACAGCAAACCGAGTGATCACCAGGAAAATAGAGCGTGGCAGGGAGACTTTGCCACTCTGTGAAGCCTGCGGGGAGAGAAGAAAGAGCTGGGCAAAGGGGAGACTAATTCACTCTTCCAACAGGAAGCAAACGGTAAATGAGCAGCACTCGATCTGTAAAATCAAGTTCATATGCATGAAGGAAGAGCTAGTGAAAGGCTCTGTTTGGCTGCCACCAGGAAGGGGAAGCCTTCCCTAGGCTGGAATCTGGACTCTCCAAAATCCAGGGCCTCACTCCTCAAGCTGGAGTGAGGAGAGCTCTCAGTTTCTTGTTAAGGTCTGGTAGTTATCGGTGTGACCAGCCCACTCTCTTGGGCCTGCTCATCACAGAAAGCTTCTGCAGTCTGCAGAAACCAACTTATGCTGGTTCCTCCTTGCAGAAAGCTAGGGTAATTAAGAGAACAGGAAAAGAGCCAAATACTGTTCTTCACAAGGAAGAAAGCAGAATTACTACAGGCTAGCTGAGACCGTAGTTCAGAAAGAATCACAGAAGGACAGAGAGAGTCAAGAGCAATGGTTTGAGGCGCTCATTTCTGTTCTCTGTTCTTCCCATTAGAAACTACGCCTAGGTTTCTGGCTTGGACATAGCAAAGAGTTCTTCAGAAAAGGACAGAAGAGCTTGGAACTGCAAAAGGGACACACAGCTTTACATTTCGCCTGAGAGGAAAGAACCGTTCTGAGATCTGCTTGGGGATTTTACCTCCTTCACAATAGCACCGATCAGCCGGCGTGCCAGGACGATTGTTGTCACTGTCAGCACGTTGAAGTCGATAAGATGAAAGTTCTGTGGTGACAAAAACAAAATGATTCCACTTTCCATCAGGCAGGAGAAACCCACATTCAACAGAGAATCTCCCAAGTTATTTTCTTCTCCTCAGACTGTCTCTTCTAAGATCAGAAAGAGAATGCCAAGCAGACAGCCAGTGCCCAAAATTTGCCAGATAAGAGTCACATAAGCAACCCTGCAGGGCTGTACAGTCACATGTAGGTTGCATCAAACATATATAGAAAACTTTGTCTAACGACCCAAGAGACAGTCTGTGAATATCACCCGACAGCAGCTGTCCTTTGGTGCTTACCAATGATGTGTGCGAAGGTGGATGGGAGGGTGGGTACCACCACACAGTTTTGTAGATGTTGATGTAGTGGACAAACAGAGCAACGAGATGACAGAAGAAGAGCTGAAGTTCGAACAGCACACTCCTCTCCACAGGCAGCTCTGGGATCTTACAGTGCCGGAGGGGGACGACTGTCTGAGTTGCCAAAGGTGGGCTGGAAAGGCCTGTACCTGAACCGCTCCTACCAAGGTAAACCAAAAGCCAGCAGTCACTTCCGTGAGATAAAGACAGCGCTGTCCTCCAGCCCACACACTCAGACTGTAGAAGTCAGTGGTCTAATGTTGACTGAGAAACCTAAGCTGACTATCATGGTCAACGGCTGCCACAAACCAGAAGTGTCAGCACCCCGAAGATGTCTAGGACGAATGTTACAGGCAGATGTGAGCAGGAATTTGCCCAGCGAAAGCAATATTTGGAACCAGGCCAGTCTACAGCACCAGGTCATTTGATATTAAATCCCTTGTGTTGAGTCAGGTTTAAAAGCCGTGGCTGTGTTTTGCTATTCAAGGGGCAACCAGTGGCCCTCTTAATTAATTGGAAGCTTTTAGGCCTCGAGTTGCTATTTACATTTCTAAGAGTGCTTGAACATGAAATACAGAGCAATTATACACAAGCCCTTTCTCATTCTTCAACTTCTATTCAACTACGGAGGAAAAACAAGTTTAGCCAGAGGTGCATATTCCTGTGTGAGCACGCACACAATCCCAGACAGCAACCCTTTTAATCAAAGGGAAGGGAATTAATATATACTAGATATATCTCTCCTGATTTGCAATCTCTAAATAACAACAGTCAAAGGAATCTGGGTGTGGGTTTCAAAGGATCTACAGAGCACAAACTCCTATTGAAAATCCCAAAATGAAACCACAAAAGTCTCAAGAGTGTGACTGTAGAAAGACTTCTAGCCCAGGGGTGGACACAGGTGGATCAGTCCACGCTTTTTAAAACAGAAGGCTGACAGCCTAAAATAAGGCTATGCGTGAGGGGAAAACTTTAGGAACTCAAGCTGTCTCTCTGAAATCCCCAGATTCCCAAGCTGACAAGACTGATTCAGCCTGTCAGGATTAATAAATCCACCAATAAACTCTGCTCCTGTACACAGAACAAGAGTTCCTGTCCTGGTCCTCTAGAAAAGGGCTTTAAATGCGAACACAAAGCCTTTTCTGCTTTGAACAGACACACGAGACCTAAGGGTGCTCTTGCAAGAGCAGCAACAAGGCTCTCATATGCATAAAGCACTTTGGGACTCCTCGGCCTGGACCGCCATGTAGGTGATGGGTATCAGAGGATATGGCTACAGAGACAAACCACTTGGAGGTAAGCTGGGGTGTGAATTTGTACTGCATTACCTACTTGAGATAAGAACCTTTGTGCATGCTCTCACAGCAAAGTATGTACGCGGTGGATTGCTCCACCTTCTGTGGCCTTGCAGTAACTTGTTTGAATAACTGTATCCCTATAAATTTCTTGGCCTAGGGCCATAAGCAGGGAGTATGTTAAGACAGATCTAATATTTTCTTTGCAGAAAGTTCATAAGGCACCTCCTGCTTAAGCATTGCTGTCGGTGCTCCGCTTCTTCCTCCTCTCTACCTCAGTTGCAGAAATGCAACCAACCAGCTAGGCTAGAACCTGAAAAAAACCCCGCAGCCTACACATCACCTGACCTAGCTAAACTCTACCACAGAAATGCCTCACCTGACATAAACTTCAGGGCATAGGAGACGCAACAACCTGAACTCCAGAGTCAGGCCTTGGATAAAAACTTGTCTCTATTCTTACTTTCCATTCAATGGTCACTAAAGGCTTTTGAACACTCCTGGAAGTCTGTCGTGGTCTGATAAAGCACTTCATAGTCTCGGGCAAATTAGAAGCCACCTATCCCAATTACAACACGTAGCATGGACACTGCCACATATAGGAAAAGGATTTCAGCTAGACACTGGGAGTTAACAAACTGCTGAGCCACAAGAAAACCAGCAGTGTGTCAGATGGGGAGATACAGGTGGCCTCACAACTGCCTCAGAGAGGAGCAGCAGGCCTGGCTAGATGGGAAGACGTGGAGAGCTGGACGTACCTGGTGCGTGAGCGCACACCCGTGACAGAGGAACTCGTGGAATGGCCAGAGCCGCCAGCGGCCCCAGGTTCACAGAGGGGATTTCGGCAGTAGGACGTACGGTTAGGGCCCCGCCTTCCCCCTGCCATAACAACAGAGGGTGCGGAGGGCTGTTCTTCCAGGTGGCTTCTCTGCTGTTCACTGCGTGATTATGTCTTCAGTCCTTAAAACTGAAAGGAAAAGATTTATAATCAAGGCTCATCTGCTCACCACGCCCCTGGTGACCAATGGAACCGATCACTCGCACTGCTAGCTTGCAGCACAAAGGAGGATAATGCAACTTTGTTCAACCCTTTTCTACAACTCCTGTATTTGCCACAGGCTATAGATGCGGCCCCTGATAGCTCCTGACACTCCTAGGACATGCAGCAGCTTGTTGAGGTGCTGTGAATTCACTGAGAGTCTAAAGCCTAAAGTATGCAGGCTTCCATCGGAGCAGGAAGAAGCATTTCATGCCTCTCTCCCAACCCAAGGCAGTTTACAAGGAATTTAATCTGCATCGCTGTGGCGTTATCCCTGTTTTACAGGCAGAGCAATACACTTACTGAGATGCTAAACAATTTGCCCAAAGGATTCAGTAAATTGGGGATGTTACCTAGATCCCCTTTTGCCCAATTTTGTGCTGGAATAAAAGGTTCACAGCTCTTTTAAAGGGACACTGCAAAAGCACACAAACCGGCTTTTTCCTTTTTTGCTCCTTTAAGATGGGAAAAAAAATAACTAGCATTCTTAGGGCATTTGTTGTTGTAGTATGTTTGCATGGCACAGAGCTCAACGGGATGTTAGCCTAAAGTTAGCTTTTCTAGTGCTTGCTTGCCATGGTGTAAACAATAGCAATAATGCCAAGTTTTAAAAAATCTTCTCTGGATCCTGTTTAACCTTAGGAGAACCTATACAACTTAGAGAAAGGACAGGGTAATAATACACCATTTAGAAGTGAAATCTGAGCTGTGAAGAAACTCAGATCAGGTCATATCAATTGCTTAACATTTCTTTTTCTGATTGTTAATTTCCAGTTTGCATCACTTAGCAATTAGCTGGAGTAAAACAAAAATTGCTGAAGGCCTAGAGACTGCTCTTAAACAAGTTTTAAAGCTTACGCTAAGCTCCAGAGTCCTCCAGCAAACTGCTGTACTAGTCCCAGACAATGAGGAACAGGGCTCAGGGGGGCTGCGCCTGGGGCTAGACCCCAGAAAAGCAAAGATACCCCGAGATGGGTGCCATCACACAGGCCAGTGGGGCACAGAGCTGGCTGCAGCGCTGGGGGAACTGGGGGGACACAGAGCAAAAGGTGGAAACCCTGGTATGTGCCATGGCACACAGAGTCCTTGTGACCTGGGGACGCAGAATAACTGCTGGTGAACAGGAGAGCCTGTGCACAGGGACCCCCCCCAGGATAGAACATGTGGGCTGGGGGGTGGGGGGGCACTAGATTGACAGGACCTTGGGGGGAGATGAAGACAGCAGGTTTGAGGCCCAGGACACCATGACAAGAGAGTCTGTGAGGGAAAAGTGGTAGGATCAAAGTGTTGGGCCTGGGAAGAAAGCTGGGGAGCCTGGGGGGGCACACCTGGGAGCAACAGGAGTGCAGTTCAGGGGCTGTAGGGGCTCTGGGAGCTCAGATGGGGGCTCTGAAGGAGCAGGGGAGGCTGTGAGGGCACGGCCCAGGGGCTGGGGGGGTCTACAGAGGCGCAAGCAGGAGCCACAAACATTCCAGGGGTGCAGGCAGAGGCTACAAGGGAGAACTGGGAAATCTGGGGACACGAGTGGGGACTACAGAGGAGCAGTGCGGGGCACGGGAGGTCTCGGGGAGCAGTAAGGGCTCTGGGGGCACAAGCTGGGGCTCTAAGGGGGTGACGGGGCCTATAAAGGCCCTTGGGGTGCAGGCCAGGGCTGTAGGGGAGCAACGGGAGCTACAGGAGGGCCGCGGGGGCTGTAGGCTCGCAGGACTCCACCGGGGTACAAGAAACCTGCAGGGGAGCATTAGGGGCTAACGGGGGGGGGCTCCAGGAGCACGCACCGAGGCTGCAGGGAGGAACCGGGGCTCTAGGGCAGCTCCGGGACGCCCTGGGGGCTCCGGGCCAGGCCGCGGCCCGGGAGCCGCCCCCCTCACAGCGGCGGCGGCGGGGCGGAGCCAGCTGTGGGCTCTCCAGAGCCCCGCCCGCCGCTCGGCCCTCTCCCCCAGCTCC